ACACACACACACACACACACACACACACACACACATATATATATATATAGATCATTGTTGTTAAATTGCTTTTTAGTTGGCATTACCATGCTTGTAAAGGTCTACTGCTTTTCTTTGATTCAATTGAAGTTGTTTGATGGTTGATTGACCTTAACTTGTAGAATGCTGCCATGTTGGTTATGCTGCCTTGTGATGCTATCAATATGAAGTTTATTGTTTCTTTCAGGCCATGAGATGACCCACTTTCGTAAGTCCGCTAGATGATGGTTATCCAGTTAAAAAGTATCTTAATATATAACTCAATCTTGGAACTCTTTTCTATATGGACCTTAAACTGATTTTTGTTCCTGTTGAATCATCTGATCTTTGCAAGTCAAATTTAGAAAGAGACCAACAATCCTGTTAGTTACGCATAAAATGCCGTCATGGTGGGGAAAATCGAGCTCCAAAGATGCTAAGAAGAAAACGACCAGGGAGAACTTTATAGATACATTGCACAGGTTTATAAGTTCAAGTGATCAGAAAGGTACTATAAAATCAGGAGTGGGCCGTAAACGATGCAGTGACATTGCCTCCGAGAAAGGCTCCCGCTCAAGAGCAGATTCAAGATCATCATCTCCTTCTACTCAGGTTTCACGGTGTCAAAGTTTTGCAGATAGACCCATTGCCCAACCACTTCCACTTCCTGGTCTTAAGCAGGCCATATCTCGAACATCTTCTGGAATCAATGTTTCCAAGCCAATCTTGGAAAAACGTGGAAAACCTCAGCTGGTTTTGCCAATGCCTACACCAGGTCGTGTTCCAAAGAGGCCCGAAATGGCTGATACCGATGGAGATTTGGTCACTGCATCTGTTTCTAGTTACTGTTCTGTTGATAGTGATGAAGCCACAGATTCTCGCCTGCATAGCCCTGTTGGGAATGATTTTGATAGAGGAATCAGGTGGATAACATTACTTTCCTATTATATATTTTATCTTAGATTTTGAAAGAATAATTTGTTTTGATGATTCATCATTTATTGCCTTCTCTTATTAAACTCCTCTGCCTTCTCACTTACAAGCTTATATTTTATCTATTGAAGTGGCGTCCAAAGAGAACAATCTTCTTTGACTGTTCGGAAGAGTTCGATGGATACATCAAAACCCGCAATTTCACTGCTCAATAGCCAGTTTTTATCTTCGTCACCCAAGCGCGGGCCTTTGGGAAGTCAAAGCAGTGTTGTGCATGGTGCTCGTAATGGTGCTTTTGGAAGTGCCCCAGATAGCTCAATGTCAAGTCCTTCTAGAAGTCCAATAAGAGGGGTTTTCCCTGAACAGATCCCCACCAGTGCATTTTGGGCAGCAAAGCCTCACCCAGATGTTACTTTTCTTGGGTCTGGCCAATGTTCCAGCCCTGGCTCTGGACAGACATCCGGGCATAACTCAATGGGTGGAGAAATGCTGGGCCAGTTCTGGCAACACAGCAGGGGTAGTCCAGAGTATTCTCCTATTCCTAGTCCTAGAATGACAAGTCCTGGTCCAAGCTCCAGAATACATAGCGGAGCTGTTTCTCCACTCCATCCAAGGGCTGGTGGTACTGCACCGGAATCACCTACGAGTCGGCCTGAAGAAGCAAAGAAACAAAGCCACCGCTTACCACTGCCACCAATAAATATTTCTAACAGTTCTCCATTTTCTCCTACTAACATGCAAATGCAATCCTGCACTTCCAGTATTCCTAAAAGTCCTGGAAGAACGGATAATCCTCCAAGTCCTGGATCTCGTTGGAAGAAGGGAAAACTCATAGGGAGGGGTACATTTGGACATGTTTATGTCGGCTTTAACAGGTGTGTAACTCAATAAAATTTTGGGGTATTTATATACATACAACCCGATTCATATGTATTTACATATCTAACTTCTAAACTTTCTTTTTTTACATTTATACATCTCAAATCTTTCATATCACGTAAAAATACCACTATTATAACTTTTAAGGAGTGAACTGCAACTTTTTCATGCATAAATAAGGTGGTATGTATGTAAAACTTCCTAAGATTTTTATTGTGCATACTGACCTGATTACAGATTAATATTCTGTTGCATCTCATAAAATGTCTGATAATTCTTTGTCTGCATTACTCCGTGTCAAAATTGTGGTTGTTTATGGATGCGTGTCTGTATGCAACCTATAATTGTGAGATTGTTCTTATAATGAGCTAATTGTGGTTGACGGATGCGCTCTCAAGATCTGCCATCTGTGGGGCACAGTGTGTGTTTGCATTCAATTGCTTTTAATTCTTTACATTCCTGGTTACTTTTTTACTTGTATTGATGAATTTACTAATATCGCTGCTCTTATGCAGCGAAAGTGGTGAAATGTGTGCAATGAAAGAAGTCACCCTATTTATGGATGATGCCAAGTCCAAAGAAAGTGCGAAGCAGCTAGGGCAAGTAAGAACTTGTCTAGGCTTGTAAGAAAGATTTTACTTCGGTTTGCATTGCTGTAGTTGACTCTGATTGTATTCCATTTCCTACTCAATGAATTGCTAGGAAATCTCTCTCCTCCGGCAGCTGCGACATCAGAATGTTGTGCAGTACTATGGATGCGAAATGGTAAAGATATCGGCCGTACTGTTTTTACTCGACTAATCAAACATTTATCTGGATTTATACATGCAGCTTGTTGTTCCATTCTGAATAAACTTCTACATATCATTTTCATGCAATAATTATTTTAAAAGTCTATTCATGTAGCCACCTAAGCATAAATTTACTTTTATTCCAGTATGAAGTTTAATAGTAACTCGTATACCACCCTGATGTATTATAATTTATTGCTAATATGCCACTTAATCAATTGTCATTACTAAACTTTATCCGTAAATAAGTTGATTAGCCTTTAGATGTTAAACTTGTTGGGGGTCTGAAGAACCAGCTTTCATCTTTCAAACTCCAACGACTTTACATTGACGGACTGTTGGCAATGCGAGCCCCCCACAGGTGTCATCTTTGTTTCTACTGCTGACAAATTTACCTTTTTGCCTTTTGGTTTGTTTATTTATTTTTTAGAATGCTACCGGTCAGTTGAACTAAGGATGAACATTTTTTTTGTTTAATTAAGGTGACCTTAAGGGTTATTCTATAGATGGTTAGTTGGCATATCATGTTACACTGGCTCCTTCGGGCAATTTAGTTTTTTATTATTTATTATTATTTGGCATAAACAGGGTTTATATTATGAGGATTTTATCTTGAGTTTTAGGGTCAGGTTTTGGGAGAGATCTCTCGAATTATAAATATTAGGGTTAGGATTTGGGAGATATCGTCTACCTTTTGATTTGTAGTTGCTTATTTTTTATGCATATAAGTGTATTGTTTAGAGCTCCTGCAATAAAATATTTGTTTGCCTTAATTTCCATGAAAAATTGTCTTGGTTTGCATCAACTTGGTATCAGAGCTTTCGATCCTTGAAGAATGAATCACTGTCTAAAAGGAGTTTCACATCGAACCTGCGATCGGGATCTTTGCATACAGGGATTTCAGCATCGCTGATAGTCACTCAATTTGAAGAAGCAAATGACCGGATCGAGGCGAATGATGACCTAATTTTCGAATCGTGCGAGATAGTCTCGATCAAAGAGAAAACGACAAAAGTCATTATTCTAGTTAGCTGGGAAGCAATCATGGCCAAACAACGCAATTCAGTTGGTAGCTGCACGATATAGTGTGATTTAATTGCGATTTGAGGGTGCAAGGAAGATTGTGGCGTTCCCTAGTTCGATGCAATGCAATTTCATCATTTAGATTGAACGAACTGGGAAGCCGATGATGGGATACAATGCAACGACCAAACCTCGCAATCTGGGAAACCAAGGACAGGATCACGACTTACGATCTCATGTTACATTTAAGATTATGGCAATGACGGAATCACAATAAATAGAAGTTCCGCTTCTGTGATTGAATCATCCTAGGCGTAATGTTAGCTCGAAAAGTAGAGTTTATGGAGGAGAAATTAGAGGAAGAAGTGAGTCAAATTAGAACAAAATGAAGGAACATTTCTCGTCCATAGAGGGATAGCTCTCGTCTTTGGAGTGGAGGATGGAGGGAATTTTCATGACCATGGAAGAAATAATGAAAGAAGATCATGGAATTTCACACAAAATCACGTGTTGCTGGATTGAGCGACAGTGTCTAGTAACACGATATTCAGAAGGCTGGAACTAGGGCTGTCAAAATGGCTCGTTGTTCGCGAACAGCTCGTGTTCGGCTCGTTAAGAAGCTCGTGTTCGACTCGTTAATTTCGTTCGATAAGTTAACGAGCCAAACACGAACAAAGATGTGTTTGTTCGTGTTCGGCTCATTTTGGCTCGAAATACTACTCATCAAGTTTATATATATATATATATATATA